GACACAAAAAACTTTATTGACACTCACGATATCTCATATTATTTAGATTAATTAATTAATCATACCATTGAAATTAATAAATGAGATCAATTAAATTAAAAAGAAATAAATAAACACTAATGTTGCAACTGTCAAGTCTTCTTGACTTAAATTTCTCTTTTCTTAAAACTTATTACACTAACGTCGCAAATTTCAATAGTCGCACCTTTCATCGACGAATTGAATATTCACAACAACGTCTTCCATCAAATATACTCATTTCTATTCATAACATTAAATTCTTCAGAACTCAACTTCAACGTCTGCCCATAACAACTCTTTCTGGGATATGGGATTTGGCTATTTTGGGTGCTAATACTCCTTGATGCAACCTAAATAAACACTGGGAAAAGCAGAAATTGAGATAACCACCTTGAAAGGGATTTCCTGTTTTATTTACCTTCGATGTGGGGATAATAAAAAAAAAGTAAACAGAGAGGGCAATTATCGCACTCAAGCGCAGATCAAGGACCAATAAACTGTAAGAGGTCAGTGTAAAACGATTTGCGTCAAAAAACCGCAATGGCCTCTAGCAATGAAGCAATCAAAACTTCATCCATTCAGGGAACTCAACTGCCTTTTTTTCCAAAAAGCTTCACATAAAAACATAGTAACCGTTAGTAACACAAGCCAAAAAAAACACAATACAAAGGAAACCCCTCTTTCCATTCTTAATTGTTAACTAAAGACCAATAAACATCAAAGCTGCCTATTGCAACACGGTTCCCCACTTCTAACCAACATCTACCGTAAAATTTCGAAAACAAGCCCCTCCATGTATAAGCCCCTCCAAATATAAGCCCCAAACTTGTAAAGCATAAAACGCTCCATTAAATTGCCCTAGCCTGTTCACGGATCCTCTATTTCCTCTTCAAAGTCCGTCGACCACTGGTGATAAAATATCAACCACGGAACATTTATTGACAGGCAACACAAGGCGGTAGCAGTGGGGGCTCCGGGTTTCTGAGCTCCATAGCGTCTGTATACAACAAACATTAAAATAGGGTTCCTTTCTAGTACAAATCGTTGTAATCATAGTAATCATACGCAATTCAATATTTTCCATCGATTGTAGCAATAGCAAAAATAGTAGGCACGAGTAGGGTACACAGCGTGCGGACACTCATTTCACGCACGAAACTTTCTTGGTACCCCGAACTTCATTCAACCCGAACTATTTTTGCGCAATGACACTGACACCGTATGTAGAGACGTTCTTGAGCTGCGACCACAGACTTCACAGAATTGTGGGTTCTTCAAAGAGTATTCGTCATACAAAACTACAAATTCTTCCTTTAAAATCATGCTTTCTTGGTAAGAAAGCAACAAAACTGCCTGTAAATCTTTCAAAAACATTTTCAACTGAATTATTCTCTACATGCTCGTGATGGTTTCACGTTGCTTTGCTTAATCATTTCCATTTGGTGGGTAAACCGAGTCCCCGATCAAGTTATGCTGGGCCAGCCATTCCGTTTGTGAATCAACGTCTGTTGGTAAACTTCTCATTCTTACCATAACCCAAAGAAAACCTGCAATTCCTTATCACACCCAAACCCCCACCATCTTCATTCACTCAGACAGAGATCTTAGATATGGCAGACATATTATAAAAGCTATCAATCGCTAACATTTTTTCCACTTACCGCAATAATCATAACCATTGCAGCAAAAGTAGTAATCATACGGAAACTAATCTTTAAGCTTCATATTAGTTAACGAGTGCTGATTACTAAAGTCCAACTGCGCCCACCCCTCCCCCTACTTTTTTTAACGTCTATACTCCTGGGCCCAGTTGTTCGAAGGCCGATTAGCCCTTAACCCGGGTTTCTCTTTCTTGTGTTCAAAAACATTTTCTCGGATAATTTTCTCTGTTATATTTAGAGCTTTCAATCATCAACTTGTAGACAAAAAGAATTAAAACTAAAATGCTTTTTAAGCTTTCAAATTTGAATTCAAATCTCGCACTAACCCTTGGTTATCTTAACCCGGCTTTGAACAACTCGGCCCTGCAGTACATCGATAGCTCCGGATTTCCCACTGCAACTTCTCCAGTGTTCACAAGCAATGAACAAACGTGATCAATTCAGATTTCTGGGAAACTGCTCACCTCCCCCCCCCAACCCCCTTATTAACAGGCCAGGTTCAATTTTCAGGAGTTAATGGCCGTAATCACAAATACACAGTACATAGCACTTACCCTGGTGTTCAGCTTTTTCTCATTGATAAACAACCCGAATATACATCTCGTGTAAACTAATGCACTTAGTACATTGCTATTTATGCAACGTTGTACTAACAAAACAACAAACACACGACAAGAAACTCTGAATTCCTCTCTGCGTTTTTACTTAGTTCTTGATGTGATTGAAATAGTACAATGACCTTACTACCACTAATATAAAACACTTTTCTTTACAATTCACGTGGTAAGGATCTCGAATTTAAGCACTTTAGCCAGAGGTTATTCCTTACAATATACCACGAAAGGGGGTGGATAATAATAGAGACGAATTACTGTTTTTGGAGAGATCTTCGAGCAGCTCTTATACAATTTTCTAATGGAAAAATGTACCTGTTAATACAAATCAACGAACGCTTTATTCAATCCAAGCAATGACTTCCCACTAAAAATCGGCTTTATAGTCCATTCTTAAGTGCAGTAGTTCTCCACATTTATCAATAATTTGACCAAATACTTCTTATTGCTCTTTATTCACTTCCTTTCTTGTCTCCAGACCCCGCAAATTAATCCACATCGGTGAAGATCAACTCTTCTTATAGTCGAACTTCAATTCGCCACCGTCATCATCCCCCTTCTCTGATTTATTAATACATTCGCTTTGTTCTTCACTGTACAATAATAGACATTGTTTCGCTCCCTTGCTCAACAATCCTTTTAAACAACAACACTTATTATCCATTTTACGTCATCTTTCTTTAACACTTTCTTTTCCATAAGATTGTGCCTCTCCACATTTTTCCAGTGCCAATGCTTTCAATTTCCTCATTTCTTCCCCAAGAACTAATTGTAGCCATATATGTTCCTCACTTGTTCTCTTAACCATGTTCCTCACATGTTCTCGATACTCTTTTGCATAAGGACAACTACGTTGAAATCGATACTTTAGTTCACATCCAGAGGCCAACCTCTAAAATAGATAGAACATATTTTTAGAAAATACATTGATTTATTTTTAGCAAATCATTACACATTCTGCGGTATCTTATTTTAGACCTCTTCGTAAAATTGTTATTACAGCTAGGTTTTCTTCTATTTTCTTCATTCTCCTCAACACCTCCCGCCTCGATTACGTTAAGCTAACTACGCATTAAGTCAAAATTTCCTTTTCACTTCCATTTAATTTCCTACAAGACGACTTATACACTCATCCTCTTTGGGGTACAAAATTATCCACCCGATCACCTCCTCTAAACAAGACCTTGTATAACCCTAAATTTGGCCCCCGATGTCCTACACCTCTATTAGGCATCTGTCAGAAGTGCAGCAGCGTTGTATATTTTAGGGGTTCGTTGAGATCCATCAAGTGGAATACTTGCAGTTATATCAGACGTTAATTTGTAACATAATGGCTGTACTTTGTTAATTATTGAAACTTGTTTCTCCTAGAATTTCATATGAGGCAACAAACGACAATAATTTTGAAAGGTAAAAGTGATTTTAGGTCTTCCAGTGACGTCGTTGTAGAAGACCTCATTTGGTTATGAAGGAATAGCGTGGTTACAATCTTTTGAAACAAAGTCATCGTTGTCAAAAGTGTTATCAATATCTGAAAACATCTTCCCACTTATTTTAGCATCGTTAATCTATCCGTTTAGGATTCCTTTTCGCTTATTTTTCATAATATTTGTACACAGAGCGCATCAATAAAGCCACAATTTTATCTAATATAGAGAAAGGGGTATAAAATTGTTAACGGAGGAGGGGTCTGAAATTTTGTGTGTCTGATCGGGGGCTTTGAAAACTCCGTGAGGTCAAAACCAGAGCGTAAAATTTCGCTATACAACCAACGGTCTGATTTCCTGAGCCGCGCTGACTAGCTTTGTACACATCCACGCACCCTAGTTCAACAAAACACAAATCAACTTCGTCATTATACAACAACCCAGCCAACTCCGTTAGCTCCGATCCCACTACTGTTATACCGGGATCTTGGCTGGAAATTTTCCACTTAATCACGCTTACAGGGCCGCCAGGCGAATGTTCAACAAAGCGACAAACACCATTGCAGGTAACACGCTCTTCATGTGCACTGCTTTCCCGGCTCAAGTGATGAGACTCTCACTAGGTCACTTCTATTGCCACGCAGTTTGCACATGAAACCTTTACAATTTGCCCCTTTTGTGTTCGCAGCTTCGATAAACAAATATCACTTGATAATCACGTTCTCATCACAAGTTTGTACGAGTACAACTTGATAACAAGCTTTTCTGGACAATCTTACCAGTTCAACTTGATAAACAACTTTTCATAACTAGTTTACCACATCAACTTTCTAACCAGATTCTCATAACACCTTGTCACTCACTTTTGTACACGAACATCTCTCTTTACATCAAAAGAGCAGTTGTACACTCATCCTCTTTTAAATAAAAAAAAATATCCACCCCATATCCTCCT